ACTGGACTATTTTTATCCCAAGCCCAGATTTGTCTTCTCTGTTGGTGAAAATTTACAATGATCTTATTGATGATATATTTCCAATGAAACTAATGAAATCGAGGTTCAATGTGAATCCTGTGTCTTGGTTCAATGACGAATTGAGAAAACATCGTGATAATCTATCAAAACTGAAAATTATATGTGACAGTACCAAGGCACCTGAAGATATAAATAACTTTAAGAAATTCAAAAAAACTACAATATGCAACTCAGATATGCAAAAATGATTGATTCATATATTATTCATGATTCATATATTATTGAAACTGAAAACAAATCTAAGGCTAGCTGGAACATTGTGAATTTTCACGGAAAGAAGACTGAACAAAGGTGTTGTTTCTCAGAGAAATTAACTGAAAATGACTTTAATAATTTTTTCTCAAGTATAGCCGCCAATATCGTAAAATCTCTACCTAATCTACCTATCTCGGAATTGGTGAACTTTAGAAATTTTCCCTCTCCTGGCTCTTCATTCTTTTTAACTCCTGTTACATGTGATGAAGTACAAAAAATCATTTCATCATTAAAAAATTCAGCTTGTCCAGATATCAATTGAATAAATAGTCGAATTATCATCTTCAAATATTCAAAAGTGATACCTCTCCACAAGAAAGGTGACAAAGAGATTGTCGATAACTACAGACCTATTTCTATTATAAGTATCTTTTCAAAAATCACTGAAAAATTAATTAAGAAGAGACTCACCAAATATTTCGAAATCAACAATTTTCTTTGCAGTTATCAATTTGGTTTTCGCGAAAACTGCCACCGATGCTACTATGGGTGTTGTCAGAGGCATAGTTGAGGGACTTGCGACCGGGAAGGTTGTGGGGGTCACACTAATCGACCTGTCAAAGACCTTTGACTATGTTTCCCACAGCATTTTACTCGAAAAACTGTCATATTATGGTGTAAGAGGCACTCCTTTGGGTTTGATTGAAACTTACCTGAATAATCGTTTCCAGATTGTTTTTTATAACAATACATTTTCTGAGCTGAGGCCGATTGACCTAGGTGTACCGCAGGGATCGGTTTTGGGCCCGCTTTTTTTCGTTATTTACATATTCCTGTGGTTGTCGAAAACGAAAACGTACTGACCCTTCAACAAATCGAGAAGTTAACGGGAAATGAAACTCAACAAACTCTAGTCAACTCAAAGCTGAAGGCCAAAGTTCATGAAAACCTGGAGGAGAGAAGAAGGAGTATACATTCATCTGTTCTGCAGACGACAGCTGAACAGCATAATCTTAGTACCAGTACTTTCTGTAAGCGGTGATGGGAATTTGATTTGTCAGATTTTTGAAAGTTTTCTTTGTTTTAGCAACCCTTGCCGGTGCCATAGTGAAGTTTAAAGCCTTATCGGAAAAACTCACGCCGATAGTTAAACCTCTGATGCAGTCTATAAGATATGAGACTAATGAGAATTTGCAAAAAATTGCTGCGGAACATCTTGCTTCACTTCTGGATCAGTCTCGACAGCGCAGCCAATGCCCCAACGACAAAATCATAGCTAATTTGTGCACATTTCTCAGGTAAAATGTTTGAACGATTTGTAATATCTAATTTGCGAGAGGTATTCCACACAGTTAATCACAGTATCTCTTCGAAGAAACTAAGAAGTATTGTTAATCAAGAGATTATGCATAGATAATTGTAAAATTATTTATCTAATAAAAATTTCTTGATAGCATGTACTAAATTCTCAGAAATATTGCATTAAAACGAAAACATTGTTGTCAGGTTGTGATTCTATATATTTCATCATCTTCCATTTAAATCATACACACATAAATCATAGTATAATTTCCATACGCCTCTGCAAGTGACTGATGAAAGCAAAAACGTCACAGTGATTTTTGAGAATTTAGTTCCTACTATTTTGGAACTAGTTTTTTTTACAAGAGAAAACAGTTTGTGTGCCGAGCAAAAGGTGCCAGTTCATTAAAAACTAATGCTTGCAGAATTCCAAAAGGAATTATTTCGTGTTCTGTTTCAAAATCATTGTTAAAAAGAAATATTAAGTTATATGCCGATGACACTTTTTATTTTTCTAGTAAAAAATTCAAAGTAACATGATCGATTGACTTCTCTGTTGAATTATCACAAATTGAATTTGAATTTTGGAATCAAAATTATTATTTAATATTGTCAAACTATAAAATTTTTAGGACTACATCGAGGAAAGTTTCTTTTGGAACACTCATTTTGAAATGTTCAAAAACAAATTTAAGGAATACTATTAAAGGTTTGAGAATGGGGAATGTCCTCAATTTGGGTTATTACAGCAAATGCAAGTTTGAACAAAATAAAATTGAGTTCAATTCATGAGTTTTTCAAATTCACTTCGAAAAGTATTCAAATTGATGTTTCAAATGTTGGGTTTTAATTTTTAAAGGGAT